CATCATCAAAGATCAAAGGTAGATAAAACCACAAAGATGGGGAGAGACCAGAGCAGAAAAGCTGAAAATTCTAAAAAACAGAGCACCCCTTCTCCTCCAAAGTATCGGAGATCCTCACTAGCAATGGAACAAAGCAGGACAGAAAATGACTTTGACAAGCTGGCAGATGTAGGCTTCAGAAAGTCAGTAATAACAAACTTCTCTGAGCTAAAGAAGGATGTTCAAACCCATCACAAGGAAGCTAAAAACCTTGAAAACAGATTACATGAATATCTAATTAGACCTGCTTTCCATAGTTCTGGGATTGCAGGCAGGAACCACTGCGCTCGGCTATTCAGTTCAATTTTTTTTACTTAGAATCAGCTTGAGTTTCTCTAGCCTGGCTTATTAGTGAGCCATCAGCCCTGGGTCACTGGGAATTCTCTTACAATCACCTAGGTGCCTTTGAGGCATTTGAGAATGTCCAGAGAAGAATTGTGTCAGGCTGACAAGAGTGGTTAATTCTGCTTCTGTCTCAGTGTAAGAGAAGTGAGTCATCCTGTGTTTGTTCATCCTCTTATACAAGAGGTATCTTTGGTTGGTACCCAGATGGGAGTTTCTCCAGTTTCCTGGTAATTGGATAATAAACAAGGAAAAGATCTGGAGACCCAAATAGATAAACTAGTTGCTTCCATTTCATATGGCCATTAAAAAACAAAAACAAAAAAAACAAAAAACAAAACAAAATGAAACAGTCATGGTTCCTACAATCCAGAAACTTTTAGTCTAGACTAGCATCTGGGTAAATAATTAAATTATGCATCATATGGTTGGTATAACAAATAGATGTGTCCAGAATCTTAGGCTTTATTTAGGCCACTTTCTTTATATTGTTGTGACTTCTGTTGTCTACACCTGAAGGGATATTTATGAACAGAAGAATTGTTATTATATATTTTTTTCTTTTTTGAGATGGAGTCTCACTCTATCACCCAAGCTGGAGTGCAGTGGCAGAATCTCGGCTTACTGAAACCTCCATCTCCTGGATTCAAGTGACTCTCCTGCCTCAGCCTCCTGAGTAGCTGGGATTACAGGCGGCTGCCACTGAACCCGGCTAACGTTTGTATTTTTAGTAGACATTGTGTTTCACCATCTTGGTGAGGCTAGTCTTGAACTTGACATCATGATCCACCTGCCTTGGCCTCTCAATATGCTGGAATTGCAGGAGTGACCCTCTGTGCCCAGTTGTATAATTTTTATTTCTTTTACTTTGCTATGTGTACTTATTTATTTTCTAATAAAATTACCCTAGAAAGGCTGGGCGCAGTGGCTCACGCCTGTAATCCCAGCACTTTGGGAGGTTGAGACAAGTGGATCATGAGGTCAGGAGTTCAAGAGCCGCCTGGCAAATATATGGTTTTGTAATAATACAAAAATTAGCCAGGCGTGGTGGTGCACACCTGTAATCCCAGCTACTTGGGCGGCTGAGGCAAAAGAATTGCTTGAACCAGGGAGGCAGAGTTGCAATGAGCCAAGATCACGCCACTGCACTCCAGCATGGGTGACAGAGCGAGACTCTGTTCCCCCGCCAAAATAAAATTACCCTAGAAAACCTTAAGGGATTTATGTAATTGCATATTAATATACAGTGTAAGGTTGACAGGGTAGTGGTTAGAAGAGTCTAAAATTTCAGAAACTCTGGGATTTAAGTTTATTTTAAGTAAGCTTAGAAAAAACAAAACTGGAAGTACCATAGTGCCATAGAGAACACAATTCTACATAGGGTCCTCCCCCTGTCACAGACCTGTTCAGATTCACCCTTTTTGGAGGCCTTATTTAGGTCTGACCCTACCCTGAAGTCTTGTCTCACAGAATTGATTAGAAGAGATCAGAGTTTTGGCTGGTGAATCCTGCTGCCTTTCTAGAGCTGGTGCTCACAATTTCCTGAAACCCAAAAGCAGATAAATGGGAAAAATAAAGCATGTATTGTTGGGTCTTAGTTTTTAAATTTTCTATTAAAACCAGTGCTTGCAGAGACATTCTATTTAGTAACTTGCCTTCTCTTCCTACAGACCCAGCCATTGCTACACAAGTCACAAAAAAGTAAACATAAACAGAATAAAATTTTCTGTAAACTACATTAAACTCTTCCTTTCTATATGTCTTTCATCTGTCTATATTTAGCTTTTATTCTTTACAATTTTTAAAAAGTTTGATGACAGAGAAACAGAAGAAGAAATAAAAATGCTGGGCCCTTTTTCTAAATCCTGGAAATTATTAAACCCTTAGTACCAGCTCCCAGGGTGTTATGAGAATTAAATCACATCATGTGTTATGCCCAGCACAGTGCTCTGTATCACACTCTTGAGCTCATAGTACCTGCTTAATAAACATTGCATTAGTACAGGTGTACAAGTTGTTTTTAAATCCGAACTTACTGAGACATTGTTGCCTTCTGTTTTCTCTGTAAACTTTAAAGAGCCAGCAAAGAATATGTCTTTAGGATGGAGATGGGTTGTCCTTATTTGTACCAGAAGTATTTGGTTGTTACGAGAGTGCAGAGTGTAAGGGACCCTGTGCTGTGCCTGCTTCTCTAACTAATGCTAATAATGAGCCAAGGGGGAGCAACATCAGCATTGACAGGAAACTTGTTTAAAACACCCATTCATGGACCCTTTTCAAACCTGCAGAATCACATTACATAAAGTGGGGCCAAAATTACCAAGTGATTTATAAACTCGTTAAAGCTTGAGAGGCAGTGCTTAGTGGTGATCAGCCCAGGCTTCTCATTAGGATAACATGGCCAATTTGCAGAAATCTCTTGTGCCCTCCCCACAGCTTCTGTTCATTGTTCTGGGTGGAAGCATCCAGGTTGTTTTAATGAAGGGCCTCATGTGACTCTAAGGTGAGGCCAGAATCAAGTACGAGGGCTTCAAAATACATTCATGAGAATTAAGTTCCACTTTTGCACTAAAGGGTGGTCACAAGGCCTGTTCTGTTTGGATTTGGTAGGGACAGGTCAGTGTGGCACATATTTGCATCACTGTAGCAGAAACTGCTGGTGTCTGTGGCCGGTGATGGCACCTGAGGAAAGGAAAGGAGAAACTTATGCTATGATCTTCCTGGAGCAGTACATTGTTCCTGAATCTCTTCTGTTTTAAAGGACAGAAATGGGTGGACTTTTTCTGCCAGTTGATGTCATGCTAGCAGGTAAACATGTGGTACTGACACCTTTAAAGGCATATTCTCAAGATGCAGGTGTAATTTGTCCAGAGAGTCTCATCTGAGAAGGAATTCCAGAGAAGGAGGAGAAAGAAAAAATGGCTTTTCTTCAGGTAAACATGTCTCAGATGAAGAGCAGTGTCCACTCTTCCTCCTGGACTGCCATGCGTTTAGTACTCACAAACCTTTACTTCTCTACTTGTGTTTTTCCTCCCTAATGAGTTTGGTTTAAGTACTTCTTAAAGTTCTTATGATAGTCAAGGGTCTCTGAAAAATATTTCTTTCCTATATCCCAGAGCCTTTTCTACATTTTATACGTCATAGCTTCTTATATGCCATGCAGAATTCTCAGCAAGAATTTACGGTCTGAAATGCAGGATACAGTAAATATCTCTTTAATAGTTTCAGCTTGTTAATTTCCTTTAAAATCCAAGAGAGGAAAATCGTTAAGTACAATGAGTTCTGAAGTCCTCTTCAAACAACACATATTTCAGTATTTTCAGCTTCCCTATTCTTTGTTCTCCATTCTAATGTTTAAATTCCTCTATCTTTATGTCTCCTTGCCCCTAGTTTCAGTAAATGACCCCCTTCTAGCTCACATATTTAGGGTCCTTACTCATCCCCAGTCACCTAATCTGTTCTGAGTCACCCCTAGTCACCTGCTCTGAGCCATCCCTAGTTACCTGCTCTATTCTGACTCACCCCTAGTCACGTGCCTTGGAACCGTACTTCCTGCTGAAACTACTCACGGGGCCACCCTTGCTCTGTTTAAAATAGCCAATCAGAATTAGCTAAGACTGTGCAGTCTAACCCTAGCCAGTAGGAGAAAGACACAGCAGTAGGGACTAGAGGTGTAAGGGGTAAAACCCCCTTCCCCTCCCTTGTCCAGTTGTGCCCTTGCTATTGCTCCATCTATGAGACGCAGGATTCTATAGGAGTAAATTTGCCTTGCTTAGATGTTCTCTATTTGGGTGCTCGTTTTCTCTGAGACTCCGAGTAATTGTTTCCAACACGCAATATTAAAAATGTTCCCTTTGTGGTTGTTGAACACGAAAAGATGTCGATACTCAAGATTTCTATTGGGAAAAACTGTGGTCCTTAGTAAAGATGGAAAACATGCAATGTTGAGGCTCCATCTGTGTGTTCCGTTAGCTCTATGCAGAGCAGGATTAAGAAGATGCTTATGGCCGGCCGCGGTGTCTCACACCTGTAATCCCGGCACTTTGGGAGGCTGGCGGACCACAAAGTCAGGAGATTGAGACCATCCCATCCTGGCTAACATGGTGAAACTCCGTCGTACTAAAAATGCAAAAAAAAAAAAAAAAAAAAAAAAGAAAGAAAAAAAAAAGCCAGGCATGGCGGTATGAGCTTGTAGTAACAGCACTGGGGAGGCTGAGGCAGGAGAATCGCTTGAGCCCAGGAGGTGGAGGTTGCCCTCAAAAATATACATGTTCATGCCCTTAATTTGATACCTTGTTACCTAGAAAAATATCATATATGAACTGATGTTGTGGATCTTATGCAGCTTTTTTTTTTCTCAGAGTTAAAGAATACATTAGAGAATATTTCTGTGTTGAAAATTATTTTATTGGATAATTTTAGTCAGTCCCGTAAGTAAGAACCGGTTCTCTTTACTTTCCAATTTCACCTTAAGACAAAATAAAAACTCCGCCCATGGCTACTTGGTAAAAATGTGTGTGTTTTAGGGGCCATTACAATTTAGAGATGTGGTCATAGAATTCTCTCTGGAGGAGTGGCATTGTCTGGATACCGAACAGCGGAATTTATATAGGGATGTGATGTTAGAGAACTACAGAAACCTGGTCTTCCTGGGTGAGGATAACTTTAACACAAAATTCATAATACACCCTAAAGGTTTTATTTCTCTTTCTCTGGAATGTTTTTTAGTAATTTATTCTTTGCATCAAAAAGTTTCAGAATGCTTTTTTTCCAGAAAATCTTCAGAATTTGTTCATGTAGAAAAGAATTTCTTCAAGATGTTTCATCTTAATCCAAACTTTCCACATTCCTGAGTTGAGTTTTATTCTTCACTCTAAACTTGTGGTAATTCCAGAAATTTTGGCATAAAATATTGTTGCCCCCACCTGAAAATCTAACTGCTAGCACCAAGTTTTGATTCAGTAGTATCAGGTAGTAAAATTTAAAAACCTGCATGCAGGGCCTGGCACGGTGGCTTACGCCTATAATCCCAGCACTTTGTGAGGCTGAGGCAGGAAGATTACCGAAGTTCAGGAGTTTGAGATCAGCCTGACCAACATGGAGAAACTCCATCTCTACTAAAAACACAAAATTAGCCAGGCATGGTGGCGCACACCTGAAATCCCAGCTACTCCAGAGGCTGAGGCTGGATAATTGGTAGAATCCGGGAGGCAGAGGTTTCACTGAGCCAAGATCACACCATTGCACTTCAGCCTGGACAACAAGAGCTAAATTCGGCCTTAAAAAAAAAAAAGAGAGAGAGAGAGAGAGAGAAAGATACCTACAAGTTGAAAGCATTTTCTAAATATTTAGAAATTTCTGTTATAACTTAGCATTTTGGTCATCCTCTCTGCTGAGCACATTACTAGCTTGTAATTGGAGAATATGAACACGATTCATGTTATTGATTGATTGATTGATTGATTGATTTTTTTGAGACGGAGTCTAGCTCTGTCACCCACGCTGGAGTGCAGTGGCCGGATCTCAGCTCACTGCAAGCTCCGCCTCCCGGGTTCACGCCATTCTCCTGCCTCAGCCTCCCAAGTAGCTGGGACTACAGGAGCCTGCCTCCATGTCCGGCTAATTTTTTGTATTTTTTAGTAGAGACGGGGTGTCACCGTGTTGGTCATGATGGTGTCAATTTCCTGACCTCGTGATCTGCCTTCCTTGTCCTCCTATAGTGCTGGGATTACAGGTGTGGGCCACCACGCTGGCCTCATGTTATTTATTTTTAATGAAACAGGTATTGTTGTCTGTAAGCCAGACCTGATCACCTGTCTGGTGTAAGGAAAAAAAAAACCTTTGACTGTGAAGAGACATGAGATGATTGCCAAACCCCCAGGTGGGTGTGAGTGAAAATGAATACAACAGACAATGCAGATAAGAGATCCCAAGATTAAAGAGAAAGTCAGTCCTTAAAGTGTGTTTTGGGAAGCTGTTCCAAAGGAAATCGTTCCTGGGCAGCTGTTTTTGTTTTTATTTTTGTTTTAATTTTTCTCTCACAAAGGGACATCTTCTGTCATATGCTTTTAAATTCTTTAAGGATTCTTCTTTTCTTTCAGTGAGCTTCCTTCAAGTTCACAGTGAGAGCCAGGCTGCATAATCTGGCTGTTTTTCCAGTGTTTTGGGGACACACAAATCTCTGTATGATTTTGAGAAACTAAAACTATTCCCAAAGTTCTCTTTTTGCGTCAGGTCTGAGTAGTAGTTTCTGTTGAATTTTTTTTCTGCTCAGTTTTCTGCCCAGTCCATTCTGTTTTTATTACTATATAATATTGAAATAGAGTTCAAGAGTATAAGTATGATACCTTTCTGCTCTGTTCTTTTCATCAAGATTGCTTTGGCAATTCAAAGCTTATTATAGTTTCATGTAAATTTCAGAATTGTATTTTTCATTACTGTCAGAAAGATGCCACTGCAATTTTAATAGGAAGTTTATTGAATCTATAGATCACTTTGAATAACATGGCACTTTAATAATATTTATTCTTTTAATCCATAGACAAAATATTTTAAAATTTGTTTACAACTTTTCTAATTTTTTCATTTTTTTAGTAAACATTTTTTACTTCCTTGGTTAATTTTTTTTCTCATAAATTTATTATTTAATGCTATAGTAAATAAGATTTTTTCTTCCTCTATTTTATCAGATAGTTTAAGTGTATAAAACCGTACATATACTTGTATGTTAATTTTATATTTTGCTAATTTACTGAGCGTATTTATTAGTTTAGATAGCTTTTAATGTTTTCTTTATGGGTTTTTAAATATAAGATTATATGATCTACAAGCAGCAATTTTTTATTTATTTTTCTTCAATTTTAATGGATTTTAAAAATTTCTTTGACTAATTCTTCTGCCACATACTTCCAGTGCTACATTAAAGTAGAAGCACTGACAATGGGCACAATATAGTTTTGTATTGGTGTCTGAATTTGATGGAGCAAATACCACTTCGAGTTTTCATAAACTGATTTCAGAAGGTAAAGATTCTTTTTGTTGGGCCCTTAGGGTGATGAGATGCCCTCTGAATTTGTAGTGAAGAGGGGTTGTAGCTTGGTCACAAGGCTGCTGGGTCTGCACTAGGGTCCACCTTTAGTTGGCTTGTTACGGGCTTGGGTAGTTGTAATTCCCATTTTATTTTGGACAGACTGAATGTCCTTCAGGACTTTGCTCCATAGGGCAGACACTAGGGCAAGTTTTTGCAGCTGGGCCTGCATATGGTGGGCCTTGTATCAGGATGTGGATGAGTATGGTTTTCAGTGAGTACCAGAGAGCATTTCTTCAGGTAACTGTGTGAATTTCTATATAGGCAGAACTGACCATAAACTGTGGCTCAGGTAACTGAAACTGAGTCATTGAACCACCTCAGTGACCTTAGTAAAGGCCAAGGTCTGCAGGCCTGCCTGCATGGCTATAAATGGGCACCTTCTTCCAGGTCTCTGGAATAGCAGGACCTCTGCCAGACTGTGGCTGGGAGGAGTTTGTGGTGGTTACAGAGTAAGTTCAGAATTCTCAGAGGAACCAAGCTGGGTGAACCCTATCCTGGTCTGTAACCAAAACAGGGGTTCTGTAGTATCCGAAGTGAATGAAAGCCTGCCTTCTGAATAGAACACTTCTCAAACTTAAACTTTAACAGCATTTCACAACTGCAGCCCTGGATCTCAAATCTCTCTTAGAGGCGCTTATTTTTGAGATGGCATCTTGCTACATAACCCAGGCTGGTCTCAAAATCCTGGCCTGAAGCAGTTCTCCAACCTTAATGTACCACGTAGCTGTCATTACAGATGTGAGCAATAATGCCCTGTTCTCTCATAAAGGCATTTTTGTCAGGGATGGCTGACATTTTTTTGTTGTTGTAAGGGAATATGAAAATAGGGTACTTTTAACCTTTTTGTCCTGCTGATGTCACTCTCCTTATACATTTTTACTTTCTATTTTCTGTTTCAAATTTGTCTCTAATTTTAGATTCAGATATTTAGGACAATATGCTAGAATTTGCATGGTATGCCAGAAATAAATGAGATAATTAGGAGGCACCTCATATTTACTAAAATAGTTACATATATGTTTAAGTCTGATGCAGGCAAAAAGGAATTATAGGATTTTCATTTACTTGTTTCAGTCTATGTCTAAATAATAACAATTTATTTCTTAATATTTGTTTTACATATCAGAGAGTCTAACCATATTCTGCAAAATATATATCTTTTCCTATATTTAACAATGTAAGGCCGGGCGCAGTGGCTCACGCCTGTAATCCCAGCACTTTGGGAGGCCGAGGCGGGCGGATCACAAGGTCAGGAGATCGAGACCACGGTGAAACC